ACTGGCTGGGGGCCCGTTGACGCGGTATTCGCCTGTTACAGTCGGGGTTCCGCTTCTCCAAGAGAATATGCTCGAGTGGGCGTAGGGCCCATCGTTGTTCTGTGTGGTGGCATGAGGCTGTAGCTGCTGGTTGTCTCCTCAACCAGGGCTGCTGCAAGCCAAGCATAGTGTATGGGATATCTTCTGGTGATACGTGTAATTCTATTGTGCAGGATAGCTACTGAAGACCACGTGAATGTTTAACAATCCTCTACAGTGCTAGTGCATGTAGCGGAGATGGCTTGGCTATGTGTGTACGCGGGGTCCCCTTGCACCAAGGGTTGCAGCAAGGTGTGCTGCTGCAAGTTAGAGCTGACACCTTACTCTCTGCACCAGCTGCAGGCCTTCGTGACGTTGTGTTCAGCGTGTATGGAGGCCGGAAGGGGGGTTCAACTGATCTGAGGTGAATCTTGTACCAGGTATTTTGACTCCATGGCAGCTCATGACTCGCCTCGTCTAGGGTTGAAGGCTTTCGTCACAATTTATAACAAGGCATTGTTGAGGAGCATGAACTGTGAACATTACGCCCCCACTCACGTGGCCTGGTCTAGCACTATTTAGTGTTCACGGCAGTTTTTTCCGAATAGAAGGGAAGAATTCTACTTATTATGCCCAAAATCCCTGTCCACAGTTCGGCCTTTCTTCATATCGAACAGTGGAAAGGAATCTTCGGTGGGATTGCGACAGACGGATACGCGCTGCACTGTGCCCCTCACTTTACCCACCGAGGCTGCATGGATGCAGGGGCAGTGAAATAGTCGCTTGCTTTCGTCTTCAAAATATACCTGAAATGCAACAGGTGTTGCCTTCTCCCTTCCCAGATGGGGAAGCACGAAAAAGACGGCTACACCCGAGCAGGGTGCCCCTTTCCCGGAGCATATCAAACGTTTGGAAGCTTNAGCACGAAAAAGACGGCTACACCCGAGCAGGGTGCCCCTTTCCCGGAGCATATCAAACGTTTGGAAGCTTTTCGACATATGCTGCCATGCAGGTGTATTCCCATTCTGTCGCGGGGGTAACGTATGGCAGGACTGAGAATGGAAGTTATGGATAGAGCGCTACGATCCATAATTAATGAGGAATGGAAGGGTGGAATTCACCTACATGATGGAGTGATTCTGCATCATAAAGAGGGAAAACGCCCCTCTCATGGCCAAACATGCGAAAGTAAAACCGGTTCTGAGAATGACCCAGATGCTCTCTAAGTAAGTTGACCAGTTGCACAAAGCGCCAGATAATTGCTTGCCACGCACACCGTTGCAGAGAAGAACAAAAGCATCTTGTACTGGATAAGGATCTCCATATGGTGGGCTGGGTATAAAGAAGTGTCAGCATAATTTGTACGGTGACACGCTCACTGTTTAAACTGATTACTGGACCATGGCACATCTGGTTAAACGTTTCAAACCCTTCCATAAAGAAATCATTATCGATGGTTGCTCAGTGGGAACGAACGACGTGGTTACACTCTCCTGACCCGCTACTTCTCAGACACTATCTTCCA